ATAGCATGTACAATAGAGAAACCTAGATCCAAACATTAGGGTTTGTATGAGCACATAGGATGTTCTTATGGCTAAAACCCATAATAAGTGCCATTATGGAGTCCAGATCTGGGGATTGAGGTAATGTCTTAACTGTTTAAGACCAAATGAGTAGAAAGAGTGAATCTGGGGAGTACGCTGATCGTAATTCCTGTACACCCCACGTACTGCCCCAGTGTCCCCGATGACCAATATGGATTCATGAGTACGCTGAACGTACCAAGAGAGGTACGCCCCGCGTAACCTCACTATGGACTTTTGGGCTTAGTCTTATTTTAGGCCTTGAGTGTTAGGCCTAGAGTTTGGACTTGTTGCAATAGAATCTTGGACCAGAGGATTATATATGTGCTTTGGACCCTTGAGTTGGGGTTGCCATTAGATGTGAGAGAGTTGGACCTCGAGAGATCTCATTTATTATTGGGCCTTGGTGGGCATAATGGATTTTAGGCCATTGATGGGCTAGTTAATGGACTACCTTTAGACCTAATGAGCGAGAGTTGAGAATTAGTTCCTAATTGGGATAATTGTGGGTTCGGCACAAAGTTAGAGGTCGGTGCGTGGCAGCAGCGTTTATAGGGACTGTTCATCATCCGAGGTGAGTCTTCTCACTATACGTTACCTAGAGTGGTATTTATGTGTGACCGGAAGGTCTCACGTGCTTACTTGAGTTATGCATCTTGTCTATGTGATATTATGCTATGAGTTATTTTAGACCGAACCGGAAGATCCAACGATTTATGAGGCCGGAAGGCTGAACCAGACCGGACCAGAAGGTCTAACGATATATGAGACCGGAGGGCTCAACCAGACCGGACCAGAGGGTCCAACGAGCTGCAGGACCGGAAGGTCATCATGGGTAGGACCGGAAGGTCTACCAGAGTTGTGGAGCCGGAAGGTCCACTCAGACACATCGACCGGAAGGTCTCGTAGAGCCATAGCCTCGAGTGGCTAGTTATATGTATGTGGTATTTTGGGGAACTCACTAAACTTCGTGCTTATGGTGTTATGTGTTATGTGTTTCAGGTTCTTATTATGATTGCGGGAAGGCGGCGACTCGATTGTACACACAAGAAAAAAGAGTCATGAATGAGGATCCTGGATTTTGATAATTACTTTTGAAAACTATTTTGAAATATGTTATGACATCGAAACTTTAGATTTTGAGAATTATTATATGTGATGTTGGTAATTTAAAATCGAAAATTTTGTTTGAAAATTTACGATGTTACACGTTCATCCTAACCGCACTCTCTTAATAATTCTCACGTTGACCCGCCATGCACTGCGCCCACTCGTGATACTTCCACCAACCCTGCAGCCACTCGTGCATGCTAATCGTACATAATGTTGGATCCCATAGACAGTCGAATACTTGACTCTATCCTAAGCCCTTAATCAGAAAGAAAAGGAAGTAATGCTAAATAAACATTCTCAGACTATAAAATCTTTGATATGTGCAACTATGATGCACACACCAAGCAACTATAGTATTGATGTCAATTTCATATAAGGAAGACCCTAGGCTATCAGGCATCATATAATCAACCAATTCTAACATGCAATTCCTGAATATTCCTATCTTATCACTAGCATGTTGTTCTAACATATCACAATATCAACTAAGAGTATTCCTATCTTATCACTAGCATGTTGTTCTAACATATCACAATATCAACTAACAGTATGGTAATTTGTGGTCTACTTACTGGGTCCGACTGATCGTACACATCGCATCCTTTCTCAATTATTATTATTATTATTATTATTATTATTATTATTATATGAAAACAATTTTTAAAATCATTTTTTCAACCTTTTCATATCCTTAGTTCGAGACTGGATTCACACGGGTGTTCCTCTAATTCACTCAAACCAAGACTCTGATACCAACTTGTAACATCCCAAAAATTACAACAATTTAAACTTTTCAAAACAACTCATTTACTAAAAAACGTGTTTACAAAACCATTGTTTCGAAAGCACTATTTGAAATCAGACTCTCCCAATATCCAATTAGCTAGTCAGAAAGCCAAGGATGTGTACAGTTACGCCTTCGCCTTGCCATAATCATTTGAAGTACCTGGAATAATAAATTGAAACTGAAAGCACGAAGCTTATTGAGTTCCCGCAAAGTACCATCATATAAGCAAATCACATGCACAAACACTCATGTCTGGCCCAATCAGCCTCTGGCTGGAATACCAGGCATGTCTACGATGGGCCCAATCATCCTCAAGATGAAATACCCTCGTATCATAAGCATTTTTGGTCCAATCAACCACCAGGTTGGAATACCAACACATGTTAGGTCCAATTGTTTTACGGTAGATTATAGACGTAATATACACAACAGCTAATAATACAACATTTAATATACACTAATAATAACCTCTTCTATTACCGTACATTGTGAGACTCTACTTAGATCATGTGCAAATGAGGTGTCTACAAAAAAAATACAAATGTTATTAAAAAAACTACATTGTTTTTTAAAAATACTACAATATTTATTAAAAACTTGTATTGTGAAAACCGTTGGTACAAATTGTTGCAGGTTTTGTGAAAACTGTTGGTACAAATTGTTTTATGGAAAATTATAGACGTTGATCAACATCTAGAAACGTGTTCAACAAAAGTGCATCTTTGTCACATGATCCTCAGACATGTGTAACAAATACAAGTATTGATGCTCAATAGAAAAGTTGAAAGATTCCATGTGTTTTGACATAAACAACAAAGATACCAAACCCATTTTGTAACTCGGAACATGACCGGACCGAAACTGTAAATAACACTGGCAAAGTTTAATTCGATCCAAAACTCAAAACTCGGTTTGGTACCCGGATCCGAACAAGGACCGAACCCGGACCCGATACACTCTAAATCGGTCCGGTTTTCGGGTTAGTTAATTCACGATCTTCGGTCTTCAGGTTTTTGGTCTTCAGGCCGATTCAGTCCGGTTGCGGCTCGTTGCTCATCCCTAGTGGGTGGTGATGGTAGGTGGTGCTGCGATGGGGGCGGCGGTGACGGCAGTAGTGGTGGTGGTGGCGACGATGGTGGTAAATGTTATGTTATGAAATAAACAAAAGTAATAATGTAAAATGTCACTTTCCTTCGTAGCAGAGAATTAATTCAATCATCTTCGTGAAAGAAAGTGTTTTCTTATTTGATGAAAAGTTTTTTCATTTAGGATTTTATTTCCATTATATAAAGTTGAACCAAAAACTTGAATGTGGTGGAATTGGAATACTTTTCTTCGGAATTTCATTATATTCCAAGAACCAAAGTCACCCTTAATAACCATGATTAAGACTAATCATTCAACTCATTTTATCAGCCTATTTTGCCAGCACATATGAAGTCGGTCTAATAAGAGAACATAGCGATCAACAACGACAATTATGATTATTTGGCAACCGAAACCTTACAATCATAGTTTCAATATTTGTTAAAGACAACTTTGTACTATCATAAGATATCGACAAACTAAAAGATACATAAACCGATCTTTCACCTTATTCCATAACTCAGTTTTCTCATGATTGAAAAAGAAGACAAGAGAGTGAGATCGACATTTAACCCTAGTTGAGCTTACACGATATTCTTTCCAAATTCAAGTTAAATAGTTAAAGTGTTAAAACAACTTGTCTCCACTTGATTCTAAAATCTAAACAGACCCACAGCTTTTTAACAAGTTGATTCACGAATGACGAAACCCCATTAACTAACTGTAGAATAATATCTCAAAACTTTGTAAAAACCAAAAACTATTTATAATTCACATTTTTGAAACAATAATAAATTTGTTTTCTTTACAACGATATGAAACGAATATTATAAGAAGGAAAAAAAAAAAAAAAAAAAAAAAAAAGTGAAATCCACCGTCTGATGTGGATCCCATCCTGAGTGTCCATCCCCCCTTTTTATTCTCGCAGTCCAACACGAGTTGGAGTCATCAGAGACTCAAACAAACGAAGAAAAGACTCACTCCTCCATTAAAGATTCTCCTTTCCACCTTCACCTTTATCCACCCGGTAACTTTTTCTTTCTTACGATATTTGAATTCTTGATTCCTTATCATATATCTATATGCACTTCATCTCCAATTACTCGCGCATATCGTTTCCCTAAGCTTTTTGATTTCTGTTATCCTTTCGATCAATCGTAAGTTCTTCGTATCTCTAGGGTTTTCTTCTTTCGTTCATGTTCTATTGATTTTCTTTTGCTTTTCTGTATATAAAAAGGTAACCACCCTCGTCTTCGATTCCTCACTTTGTTCTTGTTATGTTCTATGTTGTGGTTTCCATCTTTCTGGAGTGATATTATTGTATTAGTTTAAGAGCAAATCTATGTGCAGCTACTTTCTATGAAATAAAGATGCTAATTAATGCCAATTATCATTTATCACCCCCCCCACCCCACCACCACCATCATTATAAATGCTTTATTTGGTGATATCTTTGACATGGTAGTGAAAAAACAAATCTTTTTTCAACTCTATGAGTATTCGTACTTGGTTGTTAATGTTTTATAGCTTGTGGAACCTAATCCTACATCTAAATAGGACCAACCTAACCTATCATGTCAACTCTCTACAATCTTGTCAAAAAACGTACCCATGTTTGACTTTTGCAGTCAAACGGCTTACCTTTTCACTTCAAACCTTGTTAATTTTGTTTCAAAATGTAAAAAGATCCATGATTGTTGTTAGGATTAGGACTTTTCAACAAAGGGTATGCACTATCGTAACAAATTATATTCGACAATTGACCTAAATCCATGGTTGTTGCTAGGATCCTTATTATATCTCTTTATAAAAATAAAGTTCTTGGCATAAATCTTGTTATATTTGTAATGACAGGTGATATAGATTACACATATCTTCCTTATTCTGATTGATGCCAGACCAAAGCCTGTAATAAATTTCTGAGAAACCTTTCTTAGGTTACAGTGTCAAGAACATGTCTGGTGGAGAGGTTAGAAATGTATCTCCAGGAGATATTCAAATGGTAAATTCTTTTATTTCTAAAAAGTAAGTTAATTCGAGTCTTCAGGCTTCAGCTACAGTGTGAGAGTTTTAATTCCAATGTGGATTGGACTCTGTGTGGGTGTGTGGGCCCTTATGTCAGCCATCTAGCCCTAGGGCAGATAGTCTCAGCTCAGGGGTTGTTGGAAGAATAACCTTTTTGCAGATTAATTTGTAATGAAAATCAATAACTAGAATATTTTGTGGTGTTTTAGGTTCAAAATCTTATTGAACAATGTCTCCCATATTACATGACACAAAAGCAAGTTGTAGATATTCTCTATCAACAAGAGAAAGTGGAGCCCAGCTTTACAGAGCTTGGTATGCAATTCCATCTAATTTCCTTTTATTATACGTTCTTTGTCTAATTCATAACGAGTAAACACGTAAATGACAATTTTGCCCTTGTTTGGTCTAGTTTGGCAAAAGCTTGAAGAACAAAATCAAGAATTTTTCAAGGGATACCATCTAAGATTAATGGTGAAAGAACAAATAATGGAATTCAATAAGTTGCTTGATAGACAAGCTGCATTGATGCATCAATTGGGACCCACAACGGTTAATTTTCAACCTAATAAATCCAATGGATCTCATATCCCACCAAGTAAGCCCATTTTCATTTCCTCTATCCATTCAACTTCTTTGACTTTTTGACTTTTGGGTAGGACAAAAAATGTTACTTTTGTCTTATTGACATCAGTCATGTTATGTTATGTCATGTCATGTCAGCTGTTTTGTTTTTTTGTTTTTTTACAGTGCATCAAAACTCAACAATCTATGCACCCGAAAACACGGGTGGTATTGCACTCAAGACAGAAAACATGCAGCAGCATCCAGCCGCCATTAATTTCTCACGAGGGTTTAATAATAGTGGACTTCCGATACTACCCTCGGGGGTCCCACAAAATATGTTGTTGACCCAAAATTCAAATGTTGGAACGAATGGCGTTTCTGTAAAAACCGAATCCAACTATTTGGGGAATCCTAGGTTTATCTATGAACCTCGACCAACGATTGGTGATGCATCCGTTTCATCTTTCAGTTGCTTGGAATCCGACCCGCATCAGTTAAATGGACCGCTTCTTAATGATAGTTCCTTTTTTGGGCTTTTGGGCCCAATGTCTCAAAACTTTGGGCTATCGGACTCAACCGCTGACTTCACAAATAGTTCAGGTACTCCCTCCTTTCTCTCTCCTTTGATCTGATAGGACAAACTTTTTAGGGCTATTTTTTATAATGAGGGCATTCACGCCTTTTCAAGAGATTAGTCCCACCTTTTTGATGTGACATAAAGTTGCAGCTTTTGTCCTATTGAAATTAGTCCCATATAGGTCAAACACACACTACAACATGTTATGTCAGTCTGTGATTAACATTTCTCTTGCTTTTCAGACATGCTTGATAGTTACTCGAGGTCTGCATTCTTATCATCCGAAAGAGACAATTTCTTGGACTCTCATAGTAGTACGGTTGACCATCAAGGTTTGATTTTTGTTGTTGACCACTTTTTTTCTAGTTTAAAATGATTATTATTATTATTTTTATTATTATTACTATTATTATTAACATCATTTTTGTATCTTAGGGGACAATAAGAGGTTAGACATACCGGAAAACTTAGGTTTTGAAGATTTTGGGAGTGACTCGTAAAACATTTACACGGTAATATTCTTAATCTACATATTAAAAATTGGATTTCTTGTAAAAAAGTTTAAATTTTGCAACATATAAGACCTTACATTATATTATTGTGTGTCTTGTCACAGGTCATATCGGATGACTAAAGATTTGGTCATCTGATATTGGATGACTTAGAGCATTACGCTCAAGTCATGTGATATCAGATGACTTTTGATATGCTCCGGTCATCTGATATCGAATATATCAGATGACATTGGAGCATATCATATCGTTCATTCCTAGGACAGGAAGCTTTGTAAATAGGTTATCGAAATGGGAGGCTTCAGAAAAAAAAAATTAAGTGTTGTAGATTTGGTGTGTGCAATTTAGAGGTTGTAATAATTAAGTTTAGGATCGGTGTTTATAATGATAGTCTTAAGGAATATGTGTTGGGGGTAATAATGTAATTTATCGAAAGATATGATAAAAGTTTCTAATTAACATGGAATGATAATGAATATGATTACTACCCCTTGTGTTGGGATTGTGCTTAGGAATAAGAAAAATGATCGTTTGATCTTCATGAGTTTACATTCACATAGGGTTTTGTATGGATTTTTTTTTTTTTTTTTCATCTTTAACGAGTTGTTTTTCTATTATCAAAGTTGCAATCGATATAGTAAACCTATAAATCAATTTGTGTGAAATATTTATTCCGGTTTTTTTTCTTCATTCCGATTTTGTTGCTTCCCTTTCTGACACGTTTCATGTTAAAATTGATTAATATTGTTGTCATCAATGAAAATTGTTTGTTTGAATTTAAGATTACCATGTGTACAACTTTATGTCTACACATTCAATCATTACTCATTCAACTATTTTATCCAAACATGATTTAATGTGTAAAAAAAGAGACAAACATGTTAGGTGGCTGGTATAAAAGCCAAGTGTCCATTAAAAGCGCAATTGTATTAAAATTGGACCAAAGATTTGATCCATTCATCATTTCTAAAAGTTTATCACCCTAATAAGAATCGATCCACATTGGAAGTAAAACTGTGAATATTGTTTAGAATTCCAACCATCGACCATTTTTGCATGTGAATCATGGAATCAATTAATATACAAGCTCAAAGATGTGCACAAACCGGATATGTTTTGGTCAACAAAGTCAAAACCAGATTAAGTAAAGCAAAAATATCCAAACCTATAAAAACCGGTTTGAAAAAACCTATGTTTCACCGGTTTTCGGTAAGCAAAATTCATTGTTTTGCAATTATGAAATGAAGGCGTTTTCCATGGCATTCGGGACTATTCAAGGGGTTTTTAGAGGCATTTTTCAACTTTTAATTTTTAGAAAAGTGTTTCTTTGGCATCTTGGATAGTATAAAAGATGAAAACCAGTCTTGGAAAACCTCTAAAACGTTGTATTAACAACAAAATGAAAGAAATAATTGATGAAAACAATTCTTTTTATAAGAAATAATTGATGAAAACAATTCTTTTTATTATATGAAAATCGTTTTTTTATAGGTTGGAACCAGTTTCACTAAAACCAGTTCCAAACCGGTTCAAATAATAAAATCCTCAAACCAGTAAAAACATCGGCTTGACTTTAAACTGTTTCAACCAAACCCGTTCCTAAATCGGATCGAATCGGTTTTCAAACTGATTTAAGTTGTTCTTTTTTGCGGATGCACACAAGAAGAATAATTCAAATTGAAATTGCAACTCTTCCAATATAAATGAGTTTCATACCATTAAATATTTAGTTTCATACCATTAAATATTTCTACAAGTATCCCAACACATATTGAGCTTCTTTATTAGTTTGTTAGAGAGTGGCTATAAATCAACATTGGAATTAAAACTCATATGTCACATCTACTCAGATTCAAATCCTAGACAACTCCCACAAATATAGGGCAACTCTAAATAAATTTAAGACCACATAAATACAAATAACATATACACCTATTAATTCATCAAACAACTAGTGATATAGATATAGTTGAACATTCAACATAGACCATAAACTACAAGAACACATATCATATTTTTAATCAAATTTCATGTTCAACAATAACAAAATGATAATAATACATGCACAAATAAGTTTCAAACAACAAATTGAACCCCAAAACAATCCACAAACTCAAGTTTCTTACACATTGATATAACTAAAAGCCACAACCACCATTTTAATCAATACTCTTCATCATCATCAGCACCATCATCATCAACACCTTCAGCACCAACCTCCTCATAATCTTTCTCAAGAGCTGCAAGATCTTCACGGGCTTCTGAAAACTCACCTTCCTCCATTCCTTCACCAACATACCAATGAACAAACGCCCTCTTGGCATACATAAGGTCAAACTTATGGTCAATGCGTGAAAACACTTCAGCAACAGCTGTGTTGTTGCTTATCATGCAAACTGCTCTTTGAACTTTAGCAAGATCACCCCCTGGAACAACTGTTGGTGGTTGGTAGTTGATTCCACACTTGAAACCAGTTGGGCACCTGAAAAATTAACACAAAAGTTTCTTGATTTTCTCATGAATATTCTAATGAAATCTTGAATATCAAAAAATGACCAATTTTCTAGCATTTTTCACAAAAATACCACCTACCCATTTCACAAAATTCAATTTTTAGTGAAATGGCATCATCAAATAATGATTTTTATAGTGGGGAACATTCATAAAGCAATCTTGCAAAAAAACACTTTGAAAAGTGTATTTAGCAATTAATCTTAAGAAGAAACACAATTAATGTAAACAAATATGTATTTAGGGTTGATTTCAAGTAAAAAAAAACAACCCTAACCCTAACCCTAACCCAACCTATTTAATTAAACAGGTTGGGTTGAAAGATCTCAATTCACAACCCAACCTGGTGATTTTGGGTTGGGTATAATTTAACTTTAACCATGGTTAATTAATTAATTACTTACCAGTCAACAAATTGAACAGTTCTTTTGGTTTTAATGGTGGCAACAGCAGCATTAACATCTTTAGGGACAACATCACCACGATACATCAAACAACAAGCCATATACTTTCCATGCCTTGGATCACATTTAGCCATCATGCTTGCAGGTTCAAACACTGCATTTGTGATTTCAGGAACTGATAATTGTTCATGGTATGCTTTTTCAGCTGAGATCACAGGGGCATATGAGGAAAGCATGAAATGGATACGTGGGTATGGGACAAGATTTGTTTGAAACTCTGTGATGTCAACGTTAATTGCTCCATCAAAACGTAGGGAGGTTGTTAAAGATGATATGATTTGAGAGATTAATCTGTTTAAGTTGGTGTATGTAGGTCTCTCAATGTCTAATGATCTTCTACAGATGTCATAAATGGCTTCATTGTCCAAAAGCACAGCCACATCTGTGTGTTCTAGAAGAGAGTGTGTAGAGAGAACACTGTTGTAGGGCTCCACAACTGCAGTTGACACCTGTAAAAGGGTATTTTTGTCAAGAAACGAAAAGGGCTTGATAAAGATTGGATTTTTAGCATACCCTGTTGGGGAAAAAGGGTTAGGGTTATTACCTGAGGAGAAGGGTAGATAGTGAAACCGAGCTTTGACTTTTTTCCATAGTCAACAGACAAGCGCTCCAACAACAAAGATCCCAAACCAGAACCAGTGCCTCCACCAACAGCATTGAACACTAAGAAGCCTTGCAATCCAGTGCAGTTGTCTGCTAGCTTTCTTACTCGATCAAGGCAAAGGTCAACAATCTCCTTTCCCACTGAAAGAAAATTAGTCAAACTAAGTCAAACCCAAAGAAATCAAGATAGTGTTAAACACTAAGTAATTGGAGAAACTGGAGAAAGGGGGGATTGGAGAAAGACAAAGTAATTGTAGATTTGAAACCCTAGAATGGTGGAAGTACCTGTGTAATGACCCCTAGCGAAGTTATTAGCAGCATCTTCTTTTCCTGAAATAAGTTGTTCAGGGTGGAAGAGTTGGCGATAAGATCCTGTCCTGACTTCATCAATGACAGTTGGTTCAAGATCAAGAAATATTGCTCTTGGCACATGCTTTCCAGCACTGGTTTCACTGAAGAACGTGTTGAAGGCATCATGACCAACACCCACTGTAGTGTCACTGCAAATGAGATGAATTTGTTAGATCTGGGTGATTAAAATAATCATAAAACTTCTGATGGTTGTTAGGTTTTCGAGTTCTAGCATCATTGTTTGTATAAGCAGAAACCAATCCATTCTTGTTTTAAGTAGTTCACTTGAGAAACGCGATCCACAATTTGTGTTTAATTCGATCGATTGCGTATTGTTTCAGCGAGAAAAGAAATTGGGGGAAATCAATTTAGTACTGATTTTAGATCATGGAAGTCAACAGGAAATCAAACACAAAATCTAACCAGATCTCTTCATCAGCCGCGTAGAATTTATGAATTCAAAAACAAAAAATGGATCTCCAGACTCCAATCAATGACCTCCAATTAATAAAGTAAGCAATTGACGAATCATTTTTGGTTTTATGCGAGATCCCAAGTTTCACAATACACATTAATGGATTCAGATCCACAACTGTATCACCCAATTAGGGTTCAAATCGTATTGGCATGGAATCTATGCGCCGTGTTAGTAAATCTACGAAGAGACTGAGATTCATATTATAACCACGAAGGGTAAAATCACCGAAAAACGAAGATTTGAAATGGAATCAGAGTCGGGATTGTGTAACGACACTAGATAAAGTTGCAGATGCTTATGGAAACATAAAATTGATATAAATTTACCTGGGCATCATGCCATCGGGCTGGATGCCATGTTCGAGGCAGTAGAGCTCCCAACAAGAATTACCTACTTGAATTCCAGCTTGACCTATGTGTATGCTTATGATCTCCCTCATCTCTCTGTATCTGAAGTGATGTGAGAAGAAAGTTTTTCTTTGTTTCTTTCTTGAAAAATGAAAACCTCTTCTAGTTTTTGCTGTGCAGAACAATTGACCTAATCAAGACTTATAGAAGAAAAGAGAGCGAGTGTATGTATTGATACACTAGCTGTCTCTATAATTATGGAATTGATGCTTTTTGTTTTCTTAATTACTGTTTTTTTTTGGGGGGTTAATGTTTCAAAATGACCACAAATAATTGGTAATGTAAATCGGTAACTTTTTTTTTTTTTTTGCGTGCATAAATGGAGAAATACATCCATCTTAAGGTTAATCGCCGTCAATGCTTTAAATGATATGAATGGTGACATTGTTACAATGTCTAATCTCATTATTTTACAAGGCAAGGTTAATCGCCATTATGTATTTGATTTAAAACCACAATTTTATATACTAAAAATTTATATAATTATAGATTTATATAAAATATATAATGTTTTAAAAAGAATTATATCATTGTTTAATAACAAAAAGTTAACGAATACACAATGGTAACAATTCAATTAAAAAAAATCGCATCATAACGCGTTTTAACCTGCATTGGCACACGTCATGCCTAACATCACATCCATAAAGCTTTTCCAGACGGTGTAGCCACACTTTGCACCATGACATGTCCTGACGTGTGCCATGATCGTTTTGCACTTGAAATATTTTATGTGTGATATGGTTTCTCCAGACCTTCTGTGTGAAATTTTAGCTATTAGCCAAAAAATATTTTATGTGTGATAGGGTAATATATTTTTTGAAATGTATAAATTTAGTCATTATTCTTCTTTTCTTGTAAAATAAACTTTTATACTTTATTTTTTGCAACAATGCAATCCTTGTGACCGGTTATACCCGGTATACCGGTCATATACGAATTTTCTTTTAAGGAAAATGACTTGATAGAGTAAGATACTTTTTGAATTGTATACATTTAGTCTTTATTCTTTTTTTTTTTATAAAATAAATCCTTATACTTTATTAATATGTACACATTAGGTCTTTTTCACCGGATTCTACAGATTTTGCTGATGTGGAAGTACAAGTGGCACTAAATAGCAATTAATTAGCTTAGTCACCGGAGGTGGGTGATCCTCCAGCAACAAGAAAAGGGCAGTGACCCTTCTCTTTCTCGTCTCTCTTCCTTCCGGTCGAACAACAACAGCCAAACACCCTTTACCTGTTATATTTCTCCGATCTATCTCTCTTTGACTCCATCTTTGAGATATGTTGCCAGAAAAAGAAGAAAGAATCGACGAGGGGGCTACCAGAGCAGCTCCTCGCCGCCAACTACCGTCTCTACTTCCTCCTGCCTCCTCTTTCGACCTTGTTGTTTTTGCCATCATTCCTCCTTGCTACCAGTGATAGAAGTCGCCGGAGATTGGGGTTCTCCCTCTTTTTCATGATGAATAAAAGTTGGAAAAATCTCGTTGTGGATATGTGGATGCCACCTGGGTATTTTATTTCAACAAAATAAAAGAAAGGGAAAATGACCCGATAGGGTAAGATACTTTTTGAAATGTACACATTTAGTCCTTATTTTTTTTTGTAAAATAAACCCTCCACGTCAGCAAAACTTGTAGAATACGGTGAAAATGACCTAATGTGTACATATTATTAAAGTATAAGGGTTTATTTTACAAAAAAAAAAATAATAATAAGGACTAAATATTTACATTTCAAAAAATATCTTACCCCATCAAATCATTATCCCAAATTTCAGCTATCAGCCAAGAAATTCTTATCACTGATGTAAAGTTTTTCTTTTAATATTTCATTATATTGTTACTTTAAATTCCAACCCGATAAAATCATATGCATCATAATTACCTCGAGTATGAAAGAATTTGTGTATTTATGTTCATTAGAGTCACATTCATGTTTAATGCGGACATAATCTTAGACAGTGTTCTAAAAGGCGCGTCATGGTGTGAGGCATGACTTCGTCGTTACGAAAAGTCGCATAACGTTACTGTTAAACGTGGCGCATGACAAGACGTGATATGGCGTGTCATGACGCGTGTTTTTTCGTTTGAGACACGAATTTTTGCTCTTTGTTAAATCTTTTCTAATCAGATATACAAGTATTGTGGTTTTTGTTAACTTTTTTATATTAATTATTGTTCTAACACTTTTAAAAAGAGTTCTATTTAATATAAATTTATATTTATGTGGTAATATAATTTTAAATTAATACAAAATCATTGTCTTACATCACGTCTTGAAAAATATCATGGCTCGTCATGACTCGTTAAGCTTGAGGTTTGACCTTACCGCCACGTCATTTAGAACATTGATCTTAAATGAAATTTTGCAACATTGTGTATATTATTTTGGATGAAAAATCCGTTTATATTGGTTTGAATTTATTTTAATAGCGTTATGAAAAATAAAAATAAAAAAAGAAATTTATTTATCTATTATATACAATTAAATGATTAGTGGCGTGATGATTAAATTCAGGTTTATTTGTGATATTTTATCATCTTTAACACTATTTTCATACAAATTATAAATGTGATGATTTTGATTTTCTTTTAGCATGTGAGAATAAAAGGCATCAATTCATCGATTGACATGGAATCAATTTTGGAGATTGTTTTTTAAAATTTGATTAAATTGATTTATAAAGATTTGATGATGATAATGTGTGTCTTTTATTTTTATTTATTTTATTTATTTTGAAACAACATGTAATACTCCATTTTTGGTATGTGATTTAAATAAAGTAATTTTCAATTCTAGAGGGGTACTCGATGAGTTTGTAGTCCAACTCGTCGAGTAGAGACGGGTTTTGCACGCGTTTTAAGTTGGCTACTCGACGAGTCCATATTATTGGACTTGGCGAGTCTGCCAGTCTGGATGAAACCCTAATTTCAAGGGTTTGCACCTTATTTAAACAACATTATGCGCCCCAAACCAACCCCCATCACCCTCAGAACGTCCCTTACTAAACCCTAGCCTCCTTTAAATCATTCTTGGAGTATTTCTCATCTTGTGAAGGTTTTTGGTGCATTTTGAAGTTAGAAGAAGAAAAGAGAAGAGGGGTTTTCAAGAGGAGCAAAGAAGATTTGAGTGTATTGTGTCATTCCAGTTTCCATTAAGGTATAAAGCTCGAATCTTTGCTTGTCACCATGTAGATCTCCTTAAAAGCTTGCTAGTGTTGTTTTTGAGCCTTTTCTTGACTTTGAGGTCGATTCAAGGATAGTTAAGATGAATGGGTTTCAGATCTAAGCATTTCAGGACTCCTTAAGCTCAAGGTTGCCACCTTTATTGAGCTAAACACCCATTTTAAACCTAGATCTCCTCTTTTAGCTCTTTATTGGGGCATTTTAGTTCTTATGAGCATGCATGAATGTAAAGTTAGAAACTTTACATGTGAAATCAGTCCTTGGAACCCAGATCTATGATTTGGATGCATTGGAATCGAGCAAAATCGACTGTATACTAATGGCATGCTTGGGACTCGGCGAGTTGTTATTCAGACTCGGCGAGTCAAGTCGCGAGTCCTTGGTTTTTCCCCGATTTGAGAGTTTAGGGTGAATCAGTGAGTGGGAATGGACTTGGTGAGTTAGAGTTCAGATCTAGTGATGGAGGGACTCGGCGAGTCCGGTCAACTGAAAGTTGAATTTGACCTGAAAGTTGACTTTGACCAGGAAGTTGACTTTGATCGGGGGTAAAATAGTCATTTTACCCCGTGAACAGTTATCAGTACCTGATCTAGTGTTTTCGGGATTTGTAGTCGGTGAATTCTGGAGCAGCAGTCAGCCAGTTTTAGAGTCAGTATCTCAACAGCCAATTTAACAAGGTAAGTTTTTCTTTCCAGTAGGAACGGGTCTACGGCCACAGCGTCGACCCGTGTATTAGCAGTAGTTCTGGACTTCGGTCCGATGTAGTAGTTCAGTGTGCTTGATGTCTTTGTGATTCAAGCATGTCTTTGTGTTATGTGTTCCGGACTTTGGTCCGATGTAGTATGCAGTATATGTGTTCATGCTAGTTGATATGTTTATGCTATGTTATGTTCTGTCAATTTCCGGACTTCGGTCCGATGCAGGGGACAAGGTCCCAGTCAGTTTCGGACTTTGGTCCGATGCAGTTAGTTCCGGACTTTGGTCCGATGTAGGGGATAGGGTCCCAGTCAGTTCCGGACTTCGGTCCGATGCAGAGAGCAAGGCCTTGGTTAGTTCCGGAATTCGGTCCAATGCAGTTTCCGTACTTCGGTCTGATGCAGTGGGCTAGGCCCAATAGTTGTTTATATGTTATTGTATGGTATGTGGTAGTTTGGGGGAGCTCACTAAGTTTTGTGCTTATAGTTTCAGTTTTGGTTTCAGGTACTTCCGCTAGCAAAGGGAAGAGCTCGGGTTGATGGCATCACACACACCATAACTTCAGTTTTATCCTGGAAGTTTTATTCATTTTGATATGATTGATACAATTTTTGTTTTGACACGGTTACTATGACTTTTGAGTTACTCATTTCATGGTTCTTAATATACTGGATATTCGATGATGTGCTTTTTAGTAATATTAAAACAAAAAAAATTTGGGTCGTTTCAAGTTGGTATCAAGGCCATGGTTTGAGGGATTCGGGCGCACTTTCGGGTGTGTCTGAACTCAAACTAAGGAAATGGTAAAAGATTTTCAAAAGAGAAACATTTTCAAAAAGAATTTTTGAAAAAGAACTTAGAAAGAAAACGAGTTTTCTTAAAAAGATAAAAGGGTGTGGTGCATGGGATCAGTCGAGCTCAAATAAGTACTCCCAAATCACTCATACAATTTTATGTTATGATTATCAATTTTAGTTTCAGTAGAAGAGCATGCTAGAATAGGACTAAGGATCTAGGAATGATGCCTTATGTGTTTCAGCTTTATGAGAATTACATGCTAGTATTGAGTGGATAGTAATAGGATAGTTTATTTAGGTTATGCCTAATAGTATGAGCTTAGCATTGTATGCTAGTACAATTTCTCGTTATGAGTATAGATTTGCTTGAGTAGTTCCTGTGTCTGAATGCTACTTGCTTTGTGCTTTGTGGGACTCTGGGTGATGAGAGTTAGCCATTAGGTGAATACATCACGTCACATGTGATCAGGGTTGAATAATCTCAGAGTGCTGGATTTGGCCCTATTGCGCAGCTCTCGTTTGAGT